AGAGAGAGAGAGAGAGAGAGAGAGAGAGAGAGAGAGAGAGAGAGAGAGAGAGAGAGAGAGAAACAGACATAACAGACGACATAAGACGTCATCAGCGAGTGTTGCTGTGCTCCGCGGCGTGGCCGTGTGCAGATTTCGTTGTTCCTTCTATCCACACGCACTTACAAATAATATGTGCCCTTTCCAACCATTTGAGTGCTTTCTGCCCTTTCGCCCGTTCGCCCCCCCGATTTCCCCCCTCAACCCATTCCCCCGTCCCTTAGCCGCAGCGTGGCTGCGGCGAGCCAACTTGTTTTCTTAAAGAAAGAAAACTCAACTCTACAAGGGGGCCTGACAAGTGGCACCCTGCTGGTCGATAAGGACCTCGGAAGCGGGCGCAGCGAGTGACAGGCGCTGTAGCCCTTGGCTTCAGTAAACAGTAGGCGACCCCTCCCCAGGTTTCCTCACACCGCCACCATGACGGTCTTTGTTCTGGGCATGCCAGGCGAACTGGCCAATGAGTCCATTGCCGAGTACCGACAGCGGTTCGAAGCTCAGCTCGCACTGATCGAGGTTGAGGAACAGTGTCAGGCGGCAGCCTCAGCTGCCCGCCTACAGGCTGAAGCGGCGACAGTAGCTGAAAAGCAGTGACTTCAGGCCGTAGCTGACGCAGATGCCCAGGTCCGCTGCAAGGAGGCCCAGGATCTGCTACTCGGCACGAAGCCGCCAACATCGAAAAGCTCAAGTTATGGCATTTTGAACCATCCGAGAACCACGAAGACGTGACACTGGAAGAGAAGCACAAGGAATTTATCGCCAAACTCGTGACCCGGTTGGTTTACCCTTGTAACCACCTGCAGTCCGAGCTGGCGAATCTCTGACGGGTGGTGCGGAACCACAAGGATCTGCACGAGGATGGTACATGGACACTTGATTCCCGTGTACAGGACTTGGAGCAAGTTGCACCAGGACCAGATGCTGGCGAGTCCAGCAGGGCACCCTCTACCCGCCAATTGAAGGAACGAGTTGACCACGTAGTCGCAATGCTCGGCGACATCAGCACCTTCGCTGCACCAGCCACCATCAGCAAGCAGTTGGACACCTTGAAAACCAAGGTTCAGCAACTGCACCAGCTGCCCAACAAGGATGGCAACACCAGTGCGCAACACTACAAGATGCCGACATTCCGCATCGAAAAGTTTGATGATTATACGCATCAAGACCCGGTCCCTTGGTGGGAAGGCTTTACGACGGAACTTCAGATTCTTTTTGTCCCCGAGCACTCGTACATCGGCACGTTGTTCCTCAACTCAAAGGGCGTTTGCTAGATCTGGCTCAGCCACCTGGCAACCATCCACAACGTCCAGGTCGCCGATCTACATAAGAAGATCTCTTGGGACAAGGTGACGAGGCTATGGAAGAAGCGGTTCATCATGGACGACGCCCCAACGCTCGCCATCAACCGCCTCTTCAGCACGACTCAAGGCAACACACCAACACGTGACTGGCTCACGGAATGGCAAAAGATCGTGGCAACACCCGATCTGGAGTTGCCATTTTCGCATCTGCGCCAGGAGTTCTACAACCGGTCGTGTGTCGCCTTGAGCCTTGCACTTGGTGATCGCGAGCAATACACGACCTTCGCCGAAATCATCGACAAGGCAAGGGAGATCATCAAGACCAACAAGGCGGCTGGACACAAGAAGTCAGCGTGGCAGACAACCTATGTGGAGAAAGGAAAATTTGGTCCAACATTGGAAGACCCGGCAACCACCCAAGCATTACGTGAGGGAGAT